TTTGTCCCCCGCTACCGCGGTCCCGGTGTTGCTCGCCCGCGGCTGTGGGGCAGCGGCGGTAACGGGGGAGCCCGCAGCCGCCCGATCCGCCTCCCGCCCGGCCTTGCAAGCGCTGCTCCTGAGCAGCCCGTAACGGGCTTAGCTGCGGGGAAAGGCGCCAAGCAGCGATTTCCCTCTGAGAAGTAAACCGATTTACTTTTGCTGCTCCGCATCCCGGCGAACTTCCCGTTAGGTGTGGGGGGGGGGGGGGGGCTGCTTGCTTCTGCTCACCCGGCTCCCGAGCGCGCCGCTGCTCCCGTCTGTACCTGCGAGAGTCAGAGCAGAGCCCGGGCTCGTTCCCACGGGTCCGAGATCATCGACAAAAGGCTCAGTTGGCACGGAGCAGAAATCGCCTGGTCTGGTGTCCTTGCAGATTTTGCAACGATGCCTTTTCAGAATACTCTTTCTCAACCAACATTAGAAAAAGTCGGCTTTAAATTTGAAACTTAAAGATAAATTTAAGTTTGGGTTGGATTTTTGTTTTGCTTTGTTTTGCTGCTGTTTATTAAAAGCTCATATTTGGGGAGTTGCAACATAAAGTCTAGTCTGAACCTCTTTGTTTTGCTGTCATTTTCACTGAAGAACAAACAAACAAGAAAAGCCACTAAATTGATGATTTGGGTAGTAGTAACCCGAGTTCAGAATCTAGACAGTCCCTCTGGAGATAGATGGAAGCTGAAACATACAAGAGAAATAATTTTGCAACATGTCTTCAAGTACAATCAATTGAAATAAAATCACACCTTCTCCAGGTGTGGGCTCCTCTACAAATGAGGAAGGGGATTGCTGCAGAGGACACTGACACTTGTGCCGGGACGAGGGAGCTAGTACATACTTTTTTTTTGCCACTGGAAATCGTCAAGTGATAACCATGTTTCTCAGCTCCTGCATCAGCAGCTTGGCTTCCAGCCATAAGCAGGGGGGCTGACTGAGATCTCCTCCCAGACCTTCTCTCCCTCCTTGCCCACCAGCAGCCTGTGCAGCAGATCCAGCAATGCAGCCTCTGCCATTGTGTTCTGCTGAGTGTTGCCCACAGCCTGGAGCCCACTTGAGGGACAGACCTTCCCAAAGCCCTCAGGCTGTTGAGCACTCTCTCCTGTGAAAACACATGTGCTGGTCCAGTCTGTCACTGTGTTAGTACTTGTGGTGGGGATTTACCTCAGTGCTGCTGCTGCTTTAATTCTTCTAGGTGGCATCTTGCTTGGTGGCTCCAAACAAGGAGCTGAAGCACTAAGGCTCCCTGTCCTGCCTTTGGTTTTGGGAATAGATTCACTGTTGGCCACTATATTGCAACTGCGTTTGATGTCTTTATCATTGCTGTCATGAACTAGACCCAGCGAGGAGTAGCAGGGCTGTGCTTGACATGGCAGTGCTTTTGTGGGTGCTAGGGCTGGATGGGGCTTTTACTGTCAATCACTATACTCTTTGTGCTTCCTTTACTGTCCCATAAATGATCTCAATTAACATTCATTACTGGAAAATAGAACACACTCCTCTCTCTTGCTTCTTCTTGAGAATATATTGCTGTTTCAAGTTAGGAGCATGTGTCTGTCTTATAATATCAGTGATTAAATTGTCTAGAATTTATGCTTAGTCCCCTTTAAACAAAAATCTAGAGAAACGCTCGGTGAATTATTTTTCCATGCACTAATTCAACAAAGATGCAGTTTCACTTGGTTCCCTCATGTAGTTACAGATTTAGTTTGTCTTTGCTGAATAGTTTTTTGGTATTTTCAGAATAAGATTCACAAATGGGCCACAGTAGTTTTCATCAAGCTTTCCTCTTCAAGTGTCTTAAAGGCTGGGTAAATTTTGAAGCATGTAGGAGATCCATGTCTAGTTCCATTCTCTGCTTGAATGAATTTGAATCCTCACTTTTGTACTACTAAACTGTAAGTTATTTGGGGGTGTAAGAATAGGGAAGAGGAGATTATTTTCCTGCCAATACTATTTCAATATGTACAAATAACATTAACTGGAGTAAGAATTAGATCAGCTTTCTCTCAGGTAAGAACCAGGAGACTTAAAGTCCCGTTCATACTTCTCAATCAGCATTTATTTCCCCATGGAGCTCACCAGGGCTCCAGCAAGAGAAGCTGGAGGAGTGCCGCTTTGCAGCCTCATGGATGACACTCACCCTGCATATAGGAATGTGGATGCAAATCGCTAAAAAGAAAAGTGATCTGAGCCCAGAGTGTTAAGGTGTTTTTAACTCTTGTGGTGATACTGCTATTGGCACCTTTTTTAGGATTTGGATGGACGTAGAAATTGGCTGTCCAAAGCAGGGAAACTTACCAGCTTTTCTCCACTCAGCCTTATGTTCTTTCTTTTCTTAGAAGTCACTGTAACTTGATGTCATAGCACTGCATAACTTTCCCTTTGACATTTCCATTTTCTAAAATAAAATTATTATCTGCTCTGATTTTAACACCTGGAAAGTGCCTCATTTGGCTTATACTAAGCTCAGTGTAAACTATAATGCTTCCTGGAAGCACTCATAGTTACTCATTTTTAGAGGTACCTACCACAGGACGAAGAAAACTTTGTCAGATGACAGGAACCTGGTTAATTTAACACAAAATAGACAATCCTGAATGTTAGCAAAGCAGACAAAAGCCCCTCAGAGGCAGTTCAGGAACAATGTTATTCTTCACCGTGAAGTGTTTCTGAGCCAATGCCAATCTCTCATTTACCAAAAAACTTTGTCACTGCTGGCTGGAGGCAGATCCACACTGTGCTTGTTTCAGAAGATGTAACACCTTTCCTTTGAAGCTATGCCTGTTCCTTCTTCAGTTGCTTTGTTAGGGCTGCTGGAAAAACGGATGATCCCCATCGTACCAGGATGCTGTTCTCCCTCTTTCAGTTTGGAGTATCTTTGATGGCACTTGGTGGGCAAATTGCTCTTTTTCATGCTACACCGTAGCTCAGCACGGTATTCCTTCCTGTCAGCTGCTACAGACTCCAGGAGATACTGTTGCTTGTTTCACAGATTTCTTATTAACAGCTTGGTTTTGCTTACAGGACTCAAGAGTACATATACTGAATATCACCAGCTCTCAGCTACATTTCTCTACTGTAACATTTGTAATATTATCAATATTTCTGGGGCTCATGTTGCAGCTGGTCCCTTGATTCAGCTGCAGTTGAATTGGTTTATGATCTAACAGCTCAATTGCAAATATAGCAGCCTGTTTTCCTGCACAGCACTTGAATCAAGAGGCTGCAAAGTAGTTCAGGTCATATGACAGATACCTCTTGGTCCCTGGAATTCTCAATATTCTTAAACACTGTAGATGCTGCTCATTTTCCCTTTCTTTTTTTGGATAGTTATTGCAGTGGAATATGAAGTCCTTGGTTTTGCCCATGACTCTTCATCTGTAAGGAAATTTTTTCTTTCTCTCTACTGCAGATACACTGGTTCAGGCTTTGTGTCTCTGTCCTGCCACCCAAATTTCTTTGCAATTAATTGATTGTTGTGCTTGATGTGATCTTTTACCTGAAGAAATTAGCTGACATTGGGTTTGCATTGCTTTAGAACCCATTTTGTCTTAATAGTAACCTGCAGCAATCCAAACCTCCTCTACTTTAACCAGGAAACAGGTGCACCACAGGCAATCTTATCTCTAAGTAGAGAATTTTAGTATCCCCATACTTTTAAGTGAGGATGGCAGAATTATAGGTCTGTAATTTAAATATCTATTCCCTCATTACTTCTCCTTGTTGGCATCAGGAAATAACTAATCTTGAACCTTCTAGTGACAGTGGCCATCTCAGTGTCTCAAATGTCACCCCTTGTCACGGTAGGAAAATATTTACGTTTTAAAAATTCCACCTTCGACTAGGCAACATATAAGTGAACCTCAACGCGCTTTGATAGAATGGATTTTTATTTTTATATTTTTTTTACAGAATAATGCTTGCAAGTTTCATCTTTAATTAAAAAAAATGTGAACTGTGTAGCTCTTAAAGTTGAAACATTGGCCCAAATATGTAAAGTAAGCAGAAGACAGAATATCTGTAAAAAATGGAATACAAGAAAGTTTTTCAAAGAGAGTTGAAAGGTCTGATTCTTTCCTAATGTACATTTTATTTACTTGTAACTACCATAATATACCCTTAAATATACCCTTAAGCAAAGTTGTCATGACATATTATTGTGATTATACCAAACTCAGAGTCCTAGAGAATCACGCTCAGTGAATGCACATGAAACTGCTTCAGATTGCAGAATGCAACTAGACATTAATAGCAGAATTGTTTCCAAGCAGATAATGACACACAATGGCTTGTTATTGTGATAATAGTTCAGATTAAAAAAGGGTTCAAAAGTGGAAGCCAAAATTTATTTCATATTCAGGGTATAAAATACCAGTAAAAGGGCAACTAACTATTCTGTCTTGTTTTAAAAGACAGTGCCACTTAATAATAATCCAAATAGTAAATGATGATATATGACCAGTTTTAGAATAAAACCTGACTAGACATGAAGGTAGTTTAAAAGATTCTTGCCAGAATTCCACAAGATAGTGAACACTGGAAAATTCTCTATTCTCAAACTTTTAAAGGAGAACACTCCATTACAGTGGACAAGTCAGCTACACTGCTGAACTAGACACTAAAAGCATCTCTCAAGAGGCAAATACAAAAAAAAGAATCTGATACATGTAAGAACTGAGAGATATTTGAAAGGCAAATGAGCCTACAAACATGTTTTGTTCTACAGGTGTTACTGCAAACTCAAATGAGCACAGACATGAGCTGACTCATGTGATCTAAATAAAGACATCAAACATTAATATTATCTGATAGAAACCATGAAAGAAGTGGAAGCAAAGATCTCAGAACAAAGATATCTACTGTGTTAGGTGCAACACTTACACCTGGACAAGTTAGATGACAGAAGCCCTGAATTAGAACTTGGATGGTTCTAGCATCCAAGCAATCCAGCAATCCAAATACTAGCATTGTATCTGGAGGCCAACAGTCCTACTCTAAGCATACACACAGATCAGAGAAAACAGGAGCAGCTATATTTTAGGCTACATTGCTAAAAGTTAGCCTTTTCTCTGTCTGCATGTGGACTACTTTATATGTACAAAGCAAAGGGATAAATGCACAGAGAAAACAATAGTTACCCACAATGCCGGTACAGATTCTAGGCCTTGTACAGTCTTGGCAGAAGCAGAAAACTGGGGTAGATTTCTGAAGATGAAAATTATCAATTTCAATCTTCTTGCCTGGAGGAAGAGAAGACTAAGTGCAGAACTTTAAGAAAGCCTAGTAAACAACCAAGCCATCATTAAAAATATATCTCTTCTAGTCATATCTACAAATACATGAGTACATCAGTATCACAAACCACAGGGCTTCACAAAGGTACTCCAGCTAGCTTTTACCAAACTTCTTGGCAGGATAAATTAGACTGTTTAGGACTCTTTGGCCATAGTTCTAGTATACACAGTGAGAGCTGGCTCATTTGCAGCCTGTTTGGATTATCTCCAAGGCACACTTTGGCCTGAACGATATATACATTTGTTGTCTTCTAAAGATTAGGTCTTGTACGTGTTTCAGCCAGCTTTCTGCACCTCAGGATGAGTAACTTTGCATCTGACCGTCTCAAACCACTTCTTTAAAGAAGTTCTGCAGGCTATTTTTATGTGAACCATTCTGTGATTCTGTGGTTCTAATCCTGTCTTCATTGTTGCTGTTCTCCCAGTCTTCAGCTCATCCATGAATTTTAGTGCTAGGTATTTATACATCTATTTACACATTTATAGAAAAGAATCAGGCTTCCCCAGCAGCTCTACACTGCTGGATACACTGCCAGTATCCTCATCTGATGATGAATTTTCATTCACATGCTGTATTTTGTTTTGGTCCTGATCATATTTTCCACCAGTGAAACATTTTCCCTTTTTGAAATAGAAATGTTTGGATTCTTCTATTTGTACACACTAAAAGTTTCAGGTAAAAAACAGAAATTCTCAATTTTGGGCAAACTGTCTTTTTAATAGAAAACTATCAGGAACATCAGTAGTAACTCTTGTTACTGTTTGCATGTGACTTTCAGAATTTTTCTCCCAAACTGATTCACTCACACAATCCTTAGTTTTATTCTTCAGTTCTGTGCTGTGTTCATTTCTTCCTTAGTTGGATTTGATGATCCATGCATGTTGCCAAAGCTTTGCCTTTGGATGTTCCTAGCTAATTCATTTATCTGTAACATTCCCAGGTTCTTCTCTTCTGAGTTGTCTATGCATTTAAATATCCTTACTATTTCATGCCATCCTCTTTGATTTTTTTCTGCCAACTTTATAGCTCCTAGACTACCATCAGATTTTAGTGGGCCAGTCACACAAATGACTTGATAATTTTCAGAAACTTCAGCTGTACCCCCTTCACTGAGAATTTGTTTCAGAGCCTACACAAACAGCACAGGCTCTTAGACTTATCTGACATTTTAGACCACTCACAGTCAAAATAACAGCCACTATTTGTTTTGGTTATTATTATTACCAATGGTTCACAAAAGTGTATGTATCCTGTAGAGTAAGACAAAAATTAGGGAGAGATTATGATGTATAGTATATTATATATGAGGTGGTAAAAATACCCTGTACAGCCTGAATTTGAGCTCTGTATGTAATGAGCTTTTGCATTCATGAAACAATTCCTGCTGGCAGAAATAGCACTATTTTTTCACAGTCTTACAGAATATGTCACAGTTCAACTGCTGCAAATGCAACAGATAATTTAAAAAGTGCATTACAAAGTTGTCCACGTTCAAAAAGGGAGTGATTCAATTGCTGGATGCACAGAATGCTACTGAGTAAGAAAGAGTAAACATAGGAAATTAAGTCTGTAGAAGAAAGAAGTTGGACAAACTCAAAAGGATCCAGAAGGAAGAATATTCTTCATGCAAGAGAATGCAATGCGTGTGGTTACTTCCCCATCTATACCATGTGTACCACAGCAACCAGCATGTTTCATAATTTTATGAAGCTTATATGTGAAATCACTGAACAAAGATCAGTTACTTTCTCCAAATTGGCATTTTTCCTGCTCTTTAAAGCAATAGTGAATAAAATATTAATAAACAACTCATAAACAGTTAAACATGCTGAATGCTTGAACTTTTAGGTAGCTTTTGATGTTTTCTAATACACGTGCAGGAAGATCTCTTTAAATGCTAGTCTTGGTACATATGATTTTATGTGGCTTTTGCACAGAAAACACAAAACCAAATGCAGTTATGACAAGAATTTGATTGCATAGCATACTTTATATTCCCACTTCCTCACCTTTAACCCTCTAAGTGGACAATAGGGTTTTCTTTCTTGTTATATAAATTATTGTCTGTGGAAACACTTCCTTGAACCTCTGGACAATTACATTCGATTATCTGTAATGTTATATTTTCAAGTTATGAAGGAATACTGTGGCTTGCTGTTTTTTCATGACATTATTCTTTAATGAAAATTAAAGTGTCCAGTAACAGGGTTCAAATCGTTTGCCGATTTTCAAAATATGAGATTAAGTTTCATTTAAGCATTGCTTTTTCCGCCCTGAAAATGTAAACGCATTGTGCTCATTGAAGTAATCAGAGTTAAATTAAAAATCTCAGCACACCCTCCAGGGAGTTCAACTCTTCCCAAACCTTACTTTCATTAAAAGCATGGGTGGATATATAGGTATTCAATATGACAAGAGGGACAAGAATCCATAGTTTACTGCAATCTGGAGCTTCCTTTACCATCTATCTTCAACCAAAGATGTACTCATACAGGGACAAGAAGGCCCTGTTTAATATGATTTACCAGTGTGAATACAAAGACGGATCAATACCTGATATTATCAGACTAAAACTCAGGAGAAAACAAGAGTAAACAGAAGGTACTAGATCAGCTTTAATGACTAAGAAATTTTTCAGGATAGTATGTATCTAGTCATCATTGTGAGTGGCATATACATATGGGCCACTGAGACTGCCAGCCCACCATGGATGTGATCAACACTGCATCGGACACTGTCACTGGGAGATAAACAGACAGACTCCAGGTGGTTAGAGAGTGTAGAATCCACACAAAAAACAGTTTTATTGCTAAGAATGTCTGTGAAAAGTGATTTTGGAGAAATGTAATATTTTGTGTTGAAAAAAGGTTAAAGCACAGGGAATTTAATAACATTTTCTGAAGTGACGGATCGCACAGATGGCATATGAAATTATTACACGTACAGGAGTACATTATATTTATAGATATATTTACAGCATCAGCAAACAATTCTTGATCAATCAGTATGCTCAGTTTTCCTCACCATAATATTTGATAAAGAATAACTGATGGCAAACAAATAAGAAGATCTCACAATCTGTTCAAGCAATTTGCAAACATAAAGATGGGCTAAATTTGATTGACATTTTTTACTGCAAATTCTTTCCCAAGCTACTCACAGGATTCCTAGTGGCTTACACAGTATTTAGTACTGGTACACAGAAATACCATAGGCATTAAACTTCTCAGCTCCAGCTCAACTTTACATGTGATAAGTGAATAACACTATAAACTATAGAACTGCTGCTTTGGAATGTATTGTACTACCTAACCAACTTTCTGTGTGGTATTTATGCATTCATAGGGTGGTATTTATTTGAGTGCAAAAGCAATTTCACGTAAGGATGACATGTAACGAATTGATATTCAGTTGTCATAACGAGTTTCCATTGATAAGGGTAACAGCAGCAAACCTCAGCCTCAGCCTGAACAACTAATTTGTGTGGTCATTCTAGCCTGCAAATAGGCTGAGACCTGCAAATCAAGATATTGAGAGCCTTCTCTTCTTCCCCAGGAGAGCTGTAGCTGTATTTGAGATCTTGAGGTCTTGCCCTCAGTTATCTTGCCTGAGAAATTATCCTTGGATTACCTTGGATCATTGATTCCACTAATGTATGGGCAGTAGATATTATCTACTGCCAGATTTAAGATTTAACTTAGCAGTTACAAGTAAGTATAGGTGTTGCAAATGGTAATACAAGATTTTTTAATGAGCAGCTAATATTTCTGATGAGTAGCAATTGTAGATCATTCTCCTTAAAGACAGACTGCTTATAACACTGTGTTTTCTGCTAAATCTTTCTGTAAAAGCAGATGCATTCACGTTTAAGATTGGTTTTAAAATACTGGATAAAAAATAATACTCTTAAAAAAATCTACTTCTCCTTAATAGCTTTCTAATATCTAGTATTCGCTGTATAAATTTGCACAAAAGATTTGAAAACAGCCTACAGTAGGCTCTGCTTTTGTGTACTGTGGCAGAATGAATTATGAATGATTGCATCATTTACATTCTAAGTTTAGTTTTCAAGTATGGTTAATTTTGCTTAAATGAGAATCCTGTAGCTATTTAGTAATTAGGACTGATAGTTTTATGAAGTTCATAATTGGTCCCCAAACAGGTGTTTCCTTTCTTTCTGAAAGAATTGGGTATATTTTCACCCTGTTCCATGTGATCTCATGGAAATTTCCTGGGCAGAAAAGTATACAGTATTCATAACCATTTAGTATTATAAAGCCAAAATTATACTTCACTTTTGCATTGAATTTGAACTTCACTTGGGCATCATTTGCAGCAGTGCACCCTTGACCATGAGCAAATTTAACAGCAACTGCAATTACTCAGTACAGATAGTCTGATAATATTTTATAGGAGTCTGTAGTGAGTGCAGCTATTCTTAATTATGGATAAGTTAGATACATAATTCTGGTTTTCAGTATAGGTTGTGTGTGCTGCATATAGATAGATGCTTTGGATGTATTAAAACTAACTCCGTTATTGCCTCTAGAAAGCAGGTATCGTTTACATTGACTGAGTGTCAGGAATCGTACAATACTTGGACGGGTCATCCCCTTGAAGTTTCTTTGAATTGTTTCAGCTTAAGTTTGTGTCTCCACTTTGCAAATGGCAGCAGCTGGCAATGATCATTCATGTTTGATTGTTTTCCAATGATCTGAGCTCAGTCTAGTTACCTTATCATCAGTGCAAGCAATTTTTATGTGAAGCACCAATATTGACTACAGGAGATCTGATGGCAATTTTAAAACATTTCTGCATTAATAGCCTTCACATTGCATTTAAGCGTCTCATCTCTTAGATGCTGTCACAAATGTGACACTGCTATTATATGCCCTAAGTACCCAATTTTAATGGTGACATCTACACTTCAAAATGTTAATTGCCT